GGGGGCGGAACCCTGGGGCGGGAGCTCCGCTCTCCGCCCGGGCGGCACCTGCGGACGGACCGGCGAGAGTCAACGGCTTTCCGGTAGCGACTTCCGGTTCCCTGTCAGAGGAAGCTGTCTGTCATTGGGGGTCCCGGCGGAAAGCCCGCCTTTCCCCCGGCGACGCCTCAAGCGCATGCGCACGCTCTCCCCCCAACTTCCGGCGGTGGCCATGGTGATGGCGGCGGCCAGGTAGGGCCCGGTGTCTCCCACCGGCCTCTCCCTCCCTTCAGCCCCGGCCGCCGCGGTCCCTTTCCGGCGGGGAGGCAGCCCCTTTTCTGCCGGAACCCCGCCGTGACCCTGCAGTGCTCCCGGGGCCTGCCCACCTCCGTCCGCCCCCGGCGGGGGGCTGCCCCTGTGGTCCTCCGGGAGATATGGAAGTCTGGCTGGGTGAACGGGGCCCTGGTCTGTGGGCAGGGGAACCCGGGGCTCTCAAGTACCTAGTTCATCACTCCTCCGGCTATTAAATACCTATTTATGTATAAATCAGGGCGGGGAGAGACGTTAAGCCAACTCTTCATTTTCTCACTGGGTTTTAGGTGATTCTTGATTTGGTAAGTGTCCGCAAAACGCTTTCTCTGGCACAGGAGATGTTTTAGTTTTCTAATTGCGCCACTTTGATTTACCTTTGTTCGTGTCCCTGTCACCAATAGAGGATTTTCGACGGGGAGGGTTGGAATTGAAGCTTGTAACTGAATAAATATGTCAGGAAGATTTATGAGAAGATGATTTCTCAAGTCGAGTCCCTTTTTGGGGGGCAGCAAACATTTTTTCCTGTACCACGGGGCAAGGTGGTTGTTTTGCATAACAACTATGTAAAAGCATAAACAGGATTTTGTTGAATGGCTACTGAAACGCAACAGGTGGTTTTCCTAGGCGTTGCTTCAAGTAGATGGGAGCTTGTTCAAATTGCACGAGAAAAAGTTAAATCAAAATACAACTGGTACTTACCCACCCCTCAGCAAACCTTGAACGCTCATTTGTTGTTGCCAGCTACTTACAACGAGACCTACCAGCTGCCATTCCATGGCAGTCTTGATCACACCAGTTGCCATCATTTCTTTTGAGAATTCCAGTTGAGTTATTGTATTCCTTCTCCTGAACCCCTTCTCCATTTTCTGTTTGAAATGGTTGTGTCGTAGTGAGGAGCTCTGTCCAGTTCCTGCGTTCCTTCTTAGGAGTTTTACTGGTTTCTGATGACCTCAGTGTGTGTTTTACGTTATTTTCTGCTTATAAAGTTTGGAATGAAAGCTGATTATGTAAGCATGTAAGTGCCCATTGGCATTTCAGTAATTCAGTTGTTTGAATTGGTATAATCACTGGTTTTTTCTTACTGGGTTTTGAATGAGTTTTTTGAAGTTTAACTTACCATTTATGGGGATCTTGCGCATCAGAGAAATTGTCAGCAAATTTCCCATTGGCTTATATTAAATCACATTAACAGACAATGTTATATGACTTTTTTTTTTTTTTCTGGCTTAGATGTTTATAAGTTTGATTTCAGTTTCTTTCCAAAGCAGTTGGGTCAGTAAAACTGTTTAGCTGATATAAAATGCAAGTAATGCTCACTTTTCTACCTGTAAAACATGGCTTATAAGGGATTTAGTGAATTTGGCCTGCTGGAGGGAATGCCCATTACCCCAGCAAATACCGGGTTTTGATGCAGAGTGTGATGAGAAACTCATCTGTCTGTTCAGTTGTGCTCAAAGTTCTCAAGAATCCTAGGGGAAGAATTAAAAGTCTGTTTTCTTTTAATTAGCATGATACCCATTTACTATAACATCAGCGTACGCCCCAGAACTAATTACAGTAATAGAGAATTGCAACTGATTCACAAGTTGCCTTTTTTTCCATCTGCAGTGTGGAAAGCCTAGTATTGGTCTTTGTGGATGCTCTGGAGATTCAATACTAGAAATTTTTGTTTAGTACTAGAAATAATCAGAGGGTTATTGTAAATTTTGTATCATATTGAATTCACTTCTATCTTTTCAATCTGGGGGTTAAATTACCCCCCTCCCCCCTTTGAAAGGTCACAGACTGTATTCCTGAGGTTTGTTTTTAGAGGCAGTTCTTGGCTGTGCTAGCATTGGACAGAGCGCATTTGCTTGGACTGCTGCCATTTCCAAATTTAAGTCAGGTCTGTCCTGTTAAAAGACCAGAGGGAGACACCACCTCACAGAGTCACTGGCAAGTGAGTTCTTTTCAAAGGTAGGATATTGTGATTTCTTCAGACTAAAGTCGGTAGCTAATCAAGCTTAGAGCTGCTGTGCTTCTGGACAAGGGCTTCCCTAGAAAAAAAATTTTTTCCTCCCTTTTATCCCCCCACCTTTTAAATGGCACCTTTTGATTTCTGAGAATAGCCTCCCAGTTGCTGCCATTTGTCATGTAATGGACAATGTGATTCTAGGTGGCTGAAGCTAAAGGAGAATAGGTGTTGTTTAAGGAAACTTATTGTGGTTTTAGTTTCTTTTAGGATTTGATCTCATCTTTGCTGGGTTTAGTGCGCTCTTGATCTTATTAACTAAGATCCGTGTTCCTTCAGAAATCATTATCCTGGCTTTTATGGGATGACCTCCAGTTTTTGTTTTAAGGGGAAAGTTTTTTTTTTTTAAACTGGATATCTGTGATGTATTTTATTATATGGTAAGCCTTTCAAAAAGTTTCCAGTCACCTGTATTTGTTTACATATCAGTGTTCTTATTTCTGCTCTCTAATGACCTGCATGTTCCAATCCTGCCTTTTGGGATGGAGAACTGAGAATTACAGGACTTTTATTTGAACCAATTATGAGCAGTGGCTTCTCTCCTGCTGATAACCTGGTGTCATAAACATTATCTGTCAAGAATTAATAACAGGTTTTTTCAGCATGAATAGCCAAATTTTTGAACAAAGGTGATAGTGGAGTCTCGGAACTTTGGGCAGGAGGTCTGAGGATATCCAGTTCATCTCGAATTAGGTGTGGAAATCCACGTGTTGCCCACCCTCCCCCATGTTTTTAATGTGACATGGCGTTATCTGCCCTGGGATGTCTTTAGCTACTTCAAAGTGTTATCTATCTTAAGTTGGGTTTTATGCCTTCTTCTACCAGCCTGTGTCTTGCAACTTAGCATTTTTGTTGATGTGAATCAAGTCTTTTTTATCTATGATCTATCTATCTCATTCTCCTTCAGATTGCAGCAGTTTTTTCCGCTGGCTTTTGCAGCAAATAACCCTAATACTGAACAGAATATAACTTCTCCTTCAGGTTGCAGCAATTCTTTCCTTTGGTCTTTCCACCAAATAACCCTGAAAACTGAACAGAATGTAACTGCCACCCTGTTGTGTCAGTAGACTGGCACTAGGCTCTGAAAGATGTATATAGTTGAACATACTGCAGTGTGGCTCTATGACTTGAGCTGATTTCCATGTTCTCTTGCTCCACTAATACTTATCAAATTTTTTTTTTCAGCATATTCAATATGACAAGCTAAAATAAGGACTCATGGGTTTGTGACAGAAGCTAGTCTATGAAATCAAAACAAAACTTGTTGCTGTAGGTCTAAAGTGCTACAGAAATTCTTTCTTCTTTCCAAAATAATTTAGTTCAGTTAGGTTGTCCTCTTTCTCAAGTCTGACTGAACTGAGATTTTCTTTGTTCTGGGGCTCTTTTTAAGGGCCCATTTGAGTACCTTCCTTGGAAGACAGTACTGCAACTGTGTGCCCTAATAAAAAAAGGATCTACATCTCTGATCAGCTAGTCCTTCTCTCTCTCGCTCCCCTCCTTCATCCAGTCTTTCTCTTCCCCATCCCATATTTCCCCTCCCCATATATCAGAGGGGGTTACCAGTTGATTCAAACTCTAGCATGGAAGGTGCAAAAGTGGGTTGCTGCTGCTGATTGGGTTCATGGCTTGCTGCAGCCCTCAGGCAGAGATTGGGTAATTTTCCCAGGTCCTGTATATAATATAGAGAAGGAGGGGGCGAGGGGGGAAAGAGAGAGAAAGAAAAACAAGAAAAGACTTGGAAAGATTTTTCAAATGAAAAAGGATTAAAGGCAGATCTTCTTTGTCTAGAAAGTAAATGAATAATAACTGATGTGATTAAGGAGTAAGTTAACCAGGCATAACTGGTTCATACTGATGAGCAGTGGATGCTACCTGACCAAAACATGGTTAGCCTTTAGCTGGGAGGCTTGGGGGCTCTTTTCCACCAGCCCCTGTGGCAGAGAGTTCAGTCCTTGCAAAGTCAACCTTTAATTTTGCCAAAGAATCTGAAAGAACCATGCTGTAATCAGACATGGGACTCCCTCCTATCTCCGAGTGTGGTTTGGTTAGAAAAGGTGTCAGAAAAGCCCCCTCTTCCCAGTTTTACCTTTTCATCTGCTTTTCACTGTGATCTGCATTTTACTGAATCAGAAGCAAAGCTGGTCAGGGGCAGATTTTTAAAATGCCTCAGCTTCAACCTGGGCTCATAAAGGAAGTGCCACTCCACCTGTCAGCTCCCACTTTGGAAATAATGAAAGGTCCTAAATGGGAGCCGAAGATTTTTGATTCCAAAATGCCCTGTAAGCCACGGTGCTCAATGTCAGCACAGCACCTGTTGTCCCTGCCCACATCTCATCTTCTGAATCTCAAGAGACCTTTGAGAGCAAAATAAAAAGAGACAACATAAAGAGGGCAGCTGCTTTAAATGACTAGCTGAACATGAACCAGTAAGGTGAACCTTCTTCTTACCCAGCTTAAGGAAGGCCAGTGGCCTTGTGTCTAAACAGCTCTTTCCCAGGAATTGTTTTAGGGTCGATATGCACTCTTATGTTAAATCAGCTCTACCAGTCCTCTGCTGTAAATCAGTACAAAATACACACTCTGTGTGCACTCAGCACAAAGAGGTGGAGGAGTAAGACGCTGGTCTGAGCAGCTGGGTGCTGTGCTCACGCACTGCTTTGCAATGGAATTAGTTTAATCTTCCTTTTGGGTTTCTGATTTCCCACTTTGGACATACTCCCTACGCCCAGGGGCGCTTGGGACCTTGATGTCTAGCTGTGTTATGCACAGTGAAGTACTTTGTAGATACATGAGTTAGCTCAGGAATGGGAAGCTCCATAGTACCTTGAGAATAGTTCTGTACTAACTCGATGGATTTATTTTCAGACCTTGTCAAGCTTATTTAGAGCTAGCTCAGCTATCTTTATGTATTATTTTATTGTGTTCTAGCTATGCCTCCAGAAATACTTATTTTATACAGTTCATTACTGTTTCAGCAACCTAGTCTGTTCACTGACCAGCTACTTGAGGAATTCTGTCCAAGCCCCCGATGGAAGTCTGGAAGAGCCTGACATTTTCCACATTAGCTCTGTTGCATGGCATGTAGAGCCTCTGTCATCTCCTCAGCTCCATACAAGCTCAGTCCTACTTAATGACACTGAATTCTGGCTTAGCGTTATTAGTTACCTCTTGTTTTCTGCTTCTCATGCTGTCCTTTTGCTTGAAGTAGTGTATGAGTTGAGTGCCCAGACCTTTCCAATATCTTCCTGGTAATGACCTATCTTGCAGTTCAAACTGCAAGAGTTCAAACTATCTGCACAACAGGGGAAGATATACTAGATTCCAGGAACGGGTTGTAACTACTGGGACATCAAGCATAAAAGCTTGGGGGTATATACAGTGGGAAAACTAGTGACCTTTTTTACAGCAGAAGTATCATTTACTCTTTGGCCATGTAGTAAGCTGTAACATAAACTACTCCCTTGAAGGCAATAGCTTAGCAAGGACATTAGGGCTATGCAGTAGTATCAGAATCCAATTCCAGGATGAGCTAGGTTTTGTAGATACCTTTAGCTTGGGTTTCATTCACAGGTTTAATTTCAGTATATTAGAACACAGGTTCATGCTGTTAAACTGCACAATTAATGTCGGCATAAAAGAGCATAAATGTAGGCTTTAGCCTACTAGGTTGGACATGTGGTTCATTTAAATCAGATACCTTGTCTCTCCTAACAGGTGGTGAAAGACACTGGAGATGGAAGCACCGATTTCATTAAGCAAATAGCGTGCTCAGAGAGAAAACTTACTCTGAGTGTCCAGAAGGCAGACTGGCTTATATCCATCTGGGATAATACACAGTAACTGGTCTCTGGCATGTAGATACTGTGGTACTGGCTGTTCTAGAGAAATCTAAGAGGTTTTATTACAATCAGAAGTATGCAGAGACATATCGCAGCCCTGGGGAGCTTTCACTCTAAATACACTTTGTACAAGAGGGTGAATGTAGAGCAAAATGTGGGAACAGCATCTCTGAACCCAAGTTTGTTACATAACAGCTGACAAGATCCAATGCCAAGTGTCCTGCTGGGATGTTCAGATTAGCATTTAAATGCTTAAAATTGGGTACTGATGTCAACTTTTGAAAGTCTAAATGAAGGGATGAGGAAATCTCTTGAAGATACCTCTGTATGGAATTCAGTTTATTGGTGGTTTAAGGCAAGGTTAAGAAAAAGGACTTCCCTAGTTTTCAAGCCTCTGCTAATTTTCTTGATGGTGAAATGGTCTGCTTCCTTTCATCTTGTGGCTCTAGGAAGACTGTTCAGAAAGGAAAACTCATGGATCTTACAAGCACAGTCATCATCCCGCTGCTTTTTGGCAGCTTGGGGATCTTCGCCCTTTTTCGGCTACTGCAGTGGATGCGGATGCGAGCTTACCTCCAGGAAGCAGTGGTCGTGATCACAGGGGCTACCTCTGGCCTGGGAAAAGGTAGGTATCGAAAGAAGGGCACCAAAGGCAGGACAAGCAGAGGGTTGTGGCAGGGGCACCTATTGGAATAAAGCAGTAATGAGCAGAAAGTTCCTATTGCTCTGAATTTTGAGAGACGTGGCTTGCACAGCTATATCAGTTATAACTATAGCCAGTGCAAATTTTGATGCAAGAAAGTCTTAAAATTTGTTAAGGAAAATTTTAATCATCCTTTATAAACTGGAGCTCATCAAAGCAAGGAACAAGTTATACTGTTCTTGTGCTGTCAGAGTTCTTTTCTCTAAATCCTGAAAAAGCCAGGATGTCCAATTGTTTCTCTAATTTCTTTCATTCAAATGTCTACTTTTCTCTCTCCCTTGCTTCCTCCAAAGAATGTGCAAAAGCCTTCCATGCAGCTGGCTCCAAGCTGGTGCTCTGTGGCAGAGACAGCGAGAAACTCAAAGACCTGGTGCAGCAGCTTTCTACCATGACCAATCACCGAAAGAACGTAAGTGTGGGAGAAGGAGAGGCTTGCTGTCTCATGTGGCTGGGATTTCTATTCATGTTATTACAGAAGTTACAGAATTGCTTGTGGGTTATTCTGTTGAGCAATAGGAAAAATGCAACTCTGTGGTTAGGGATAGATATTGCTATAGGAGTACACTGAGCTAACATGTCATATCTTGTAAAAACCCTACAAAAATAAGCCACCTGAAAGACTCCTTACCTTGTAGTGGAAGTGAAAGCACATAAGTGCCCAGACCCCTTGCATCTGTATGTCATATACTGAATCTGGAAGAGTGACTTTCCTTCTGTTGGCTTTTATTTTTGATGTCTAGTTCTGGGCTAAGAAAGGTGTTGCTGGCTTCTGCAGAAGACACAGGGGTTAAGTTTTTTACTTTCAGATGCATTTTCTTTAATAAAACAATAGGAAACATTAGTAGTTGAGGAAGACCTCACTTGCCCCTTTCCTAGGCTCTGGTATAAGGAACAGGCTACAGAAGCAGAGAAAGATGAGAGCACAACCTGCTTCTGTCATGTATTCCTACCAAATGGAACTGCTCCACTGTAATTGCACAAGGTTTGGATGGCCCTGCTTCTGTGCTTCCAGAGCTGGGAAATCCGATCACGAGTGTGAACATACAGCACATTCGGCACAGCCTGAATTGGTCTTTTGCTAACTTTTGTTTATTCACAGACACACAAACCTCACACTGTGGTATTTGACCTCTCGGACACTAAAACTGTCCTAAACGCTGCTGAAGAGATCCTGAAGTACTTGGGTCACGTGGACATACTGATCAACAACGCAGGCATCAGTTTCCGAGGCACAATTGTGGACACAGGACTGGAGGTGGACAAGAAAGTGATGGAAACAAATTATTTTGGTCCTATAGCCTTCACCAAAGGTACCCATGATCCGGATTACAGGGGGACAGTGGATTTCACTGATACCTTCTGCAGGCCAACACAACTAACTAAGCACAGCTTAACTTCTGGTTGTAATTGTATTTGGTACAGTACAGTATAAGAAGGGAGGAAAGTTTTGTTTTATGGGCAGGCCTAGAGGAGATGCTTGGGCATGACTGCATGGGAAGTACCTGATTAGAGATACCATCTTGTTTAAAACACCTCCTGACCCTAGTCTGGCAGGAACTTATGAAGAGAGATATGGTTAGCCTATCTGCACTGATAAAACACTAGGAACGCAGTATGGGTTCTAGGTGAAGCTGTAGCTTTCCTAGGAAGCTTCTTTGATTACACAGAAAGTTCAGCCTGGAGGGTATCAGCTGCAGGAAATGGAAAGATGTACTGATGGCAGAAAAAAGCAAGTCCTGCTGGCCATGCCTGTGGGAGATCACAGCAACTGTAACAGCCTTTGTGCAGCCTTGCTGGCACAAGGAATCTCCTCATAGGTGAACATCCCAGCCAGACTGCAGCTTCAGTTAGAGGCATCCTAGGCACTATCCCTTGCCCAACCCTACACTGAACAAGGATCTTGTCATTCACTTAGGCATCTTTGAATATTCTGAAAGCACTGATTCTTGACAGCAGCAACAGCAGGACTGTTATTCTGAATGGGTCTTTTCTGTCTTTTGCTAGCACTTCTCCCCTCCATGATCAAGAGAAGACAAGGCCACATTGTGGCCATCAGCAGTGTTCAAGGCAAAATAAGCATTCCTTTCAGATCTGCATGTAAGTACCTCCACAGAAGATGGGGAAGACATATTTGGGGCACCAGACTGAATGAATACTTGGCTACTGCTTCCACATTTAGCTCTCTGTAGAGCTGGCTGCATGCAGGGAAGGCAGAGCTGCGCATCATTCTTAGTGCGGTCACAAATCACTAACAGCTGTTGAGGAAGGCACTCTCAAATACAAAATCTTAGCGCTGTCCTAAAGTTCCTAAGGGATGGGGAAGGAGAGTATGTTTTCAGTGTCTTGAAAACAGCTTGATATTCCTATCTTAACACTTGAGAGTCCCTATAAACTTTCTGGTTAATTCCATAATTTTGTTGTATTTTATCCTTGCTGTTTGCCTGTTAATCTCCTCTAAGAAAGTAGGACTTTTTGGTTTAATATGTTATGAAATGTCAGTACTACCAGTGTCCAAATAAAAGCCTAAACAGTTATCTTGATCCAGCAAACTCTTCATGCTAAATCAGTTATGACAATAAATAATATTGGTGAGATTACTGGAGAAAGCCTTACAAAAGATGGAGGAACTAAAAGGAGAGTGTTTGGCACACAAGCATCTGTAAGTCACTGAAAATAAATATAAAAATGGAAAAATACAGCGGTGGTGGCATAAGAGTGGTAGGGCATGATGCTGAGTCAAGGAGCGCCTGCAGCGTCTGGGCCATCTGGTCTTGCAGATAATGTGGGTACGATTGGACTAAGAATTGTGTTCTGAATTGCTTCCAGAGCACTTGCACAGTGACTGGAGCCACATGGGCCTGGCAGCATGGAGCTCAGCTCTTACCTAGGTCCTCAGACAGGGTGCATAGCCTGCGCTAAGCTCTGTGCTGCTAGCGTCAGTCCTGCAGCCATGTTGAGGCGATGGCAGTCATGGTGGTAGTGACCAAGTATACGTGGAAAGGGAGTGAGCAGAAGGAGTTGCTCAGCCATTTAACAGGGGGAAATCCTGCCTTAGGCTACACTTCTCTACTCCTGTCTGCTTGTGCGATCAGGTTTTGACTTGTGTGCAGCCAAGCTCTGAACCTGCTCTGCAAGTCTGTTAACACTCAGCACATGCAGGCCAGGAGGGTGTTCAGCAGCGAGTGTCAGCTCTGCCCTCCTGTACTGGCATCGCGTTCCCCCAGCCTATCTTATCAAATGCTTCCCAAGCCAGGCTTTATGTCTCCTTTATCACGAGTGGGAGGCAGTTTGGGTTCACTCTGTAGTGCTTTGGCATGGCTGTGATACAAAGCTCAGGATCCTAGCCAGTTTCCAACTTGAGTATTTACATTTTGCCTTCCTAAATTGCCTCTCACTCCCACTACCTGTTGCTGCCATTCACAAAAAAACCCCAAAACAACAACAAAAAACCCAAAACAAAACCCAAAAAACCCCAGCAAAACCAAAAAAACCTAGAAGTTAGAGAACAGCTGATGGGTTCTTGCTGAGAAGCGACTGCTTTGCAGTGAAAAACCCATTCAGGGGAGTGAATCTTCCTTCAGCCCTGCTCCTTCTCCTTAGTGCATAGTCCTTTTCCTGTTTTTCAGATGCTGCCTCTAAGCATGCTACCCAGGCCTTCTTTGATTGTCTACGAGCAGAGGTAGAGCAGTATGACATTGATGTGACGGTTATAAGCCCTGGATACATTCAAACAAACCTCTCTCTCAATGCTGTAACAGCAGATGGATCTCGCTATGGAGGTGAGATATGATTTTTGTGCCCTCTATCTAAAGCATATCCACCTCACTGAGTTACTCCAAAGTGTGCTTGCAACATAGGGCCTCTGGTGGGGACACAGGTTAGCCCTGAAGTATCAAAAGACAGCTTTGGATGCAGGGTAGGAAGAGTAGCCCCCAAAATTTAGCCTTTCTAGACAGCAGCTACTGACTTCTAGCCCAACCATGAATTATACCTGCCTGTGCTCCCATCATACACAACTTGTAAAAACCAAAACCATACAAGCAGCCACGTACAGTTAGAACAGAGCATTCCTAGGAAAGGTACTGAAGTGTGGGCTTACCTGCTGGCATTGGTGCTTACTCCGGTTTCCCTTGGCAGTTATGGACAAGAACACCGCCGAAGGACAGACAGCCGCAGAGGTCGCTCAGGTGGTTCTCAATGCAGTGGGACAGAAGAAGAAGGAAGTACTTGTAGCTGGCCTGGCACCCTCCCTGGCTGTCTACCTGCGAAACCTCTTCCCCAGGCTCTTCTTCACCTTAATGGCAACTAGAGCAAAAAAGGAGAGAAAAGAAAAGGACTCTTAGAGCTCAGCTCACTCAAGCAGTAACTGTAGGGAGAAGCTAACCCCCTGCAGTTTGGCTGGGACATCAGTGGAGGTACTCCTGCAGAAAAAACCTTTCTCAAAATGCTGCAATTCACTATTACATGGAGGGTGGGAAGTGGTTTCCCCCACATCAGAGCAGGCCCACTTGCTGGAAGACAGCACCTAAACCTCACCTGAAGAAGGGTGCTTGGACAAAGGGGGAGAGCTGAGGCTGCAAGGGAGGGTAACTCAAGGGAACACACTTTGCAGCAGGGAGGCCCATGTGCTTGCGGGAAGACAGCATCTTACCTCACCTCACTCCAGGCATGCTCAGCTTTACTAGACTGCTACAAATAAAACCCACCTGTTTTGCCTTCACACAAGTAGATCTTAGCTTTCCCCACCCCATGGCCCCCATGAAATACAGTCCTCAGCTGGGAGCTCCTGTGATCAGTGTCTCCTTCCCATTCCTTCCAATCTGACGTAGAACACATTGCTTGAAGTGGGAAACTTCACAGAGCCTCTGCTTGTTAACACACCACATCATCTGATATGTTAAGCTAAAGTCAAGTCCAGTGCCACTTTGAAAGAAGCGACTGATGTAAAATTTAAGTTTTATTTGGCAATTATTTTATCTGAATCACGCCTTACTGATGTACAGGGACATTTAACTGTGCACTACCTGAGACTACAGTATTAACCCCAGCACAAGTTAATGCAGGGGAAGCACTGGAGAGATAGAAGACAGCACAGCAAGGTATGCTGTTGTGTGTAAATACTGTGCAGCTGGCAGCGCACACCTGGCCCACCTGCAGGCCTAGAGCACAGAGTAGGTGCGATTCTGTGGATGCCAGGCACACTGTGTCCTGGCAAGCAAAGGAGAACCTGTGTGCAGGGTGGACAGTACAGGAGACAGACTCTTCGTTCTCATCTGTTTTAAAGCAATCACAGATGCTAATGAAGATCGCATCCAGTGGGGGAACAATACCCGCCTGTTCACCTGTCGCCGGCTTCAGGGAGTCTGACAGCCTGAGGGAGTGCCATATTCCATTCTTCAGCCCTTCTCCTCATGTGATGGATACCAGCACCATAAGGAAAAAGGAGTGGCTGCACAGAGATAGTTCAGTAAGGACAGAAATAATCTCTTTCAACTTCTAATTTAAATAAAGCCTACTACTAGGAACCAAGGTCCAGAACCCTGTTGCTGCCTCCATGTGCTTACCAGCATTTTCCACGTGTACTGCCTTGTATGTCCTGCCTCTGAGTGCACATCTGATGACAAATAAATGACATTGATATGAAATTAATCTTTTGTTCTACTTCAGCTCCTCTCAGCAGGTAACATTAGAGGAAGGGAAGGCGGGAGGCTTTTGATTTGTTTTCTTTTCTTACATTCCTGCAAGGTGCTGTTGTACCAGTAGTAGTTGCAGAACAACACACTTCATCGCAGCCCTCTTTACATCATCTGCTAGCTTACAGTAGACGTAGTGTGAATTCACACAGAAGATTAGTCACACTAAAACTCTGATACAGATGTGCAGGCTCAGCAGGACCTTGTCCTTCAAAAAGCCTTTTCTTGACCAGTACCAATTATCTGTGAGAATCCATCCCAGATGATGAGTGGGATGTGCTTAATGATCATGGTGCTGCTGCTCAGTTAGGACATCCTCTACCATTTTCACTGTGGCTGAGGTTGCAGATTTGTTACATAAAGGCCTAGGGTTGACATTACAAGTTGAAGCTTTCAAGTGTATGCGTCTCTTTTCCTGCTAAGATAGGAAACCAAGGCATTACCTTTGCTCCCTCTCCACAAGGGGAGTTTCTGTAAGCATTAATTGTGCTTTTTCTTTCGTGTTTTGCATGTTCAGGTCCTCCGTTTCTTAGCAAAATACAGTGCTCCTGCCAGTCTTGTCCAGCTGCTTCATCTTCTGGTGTTTCAGGTCATGGCTAGCTGTGAAGGACTGAGGGTCCGCTTTGCATTTCTGTTATCATCCAGGGTGGTGAGGGGTGTAATACATCAGGCCTGAGGAAAAAAATTACATGTGGGGAGTTACTGTGGTTACTGTCAGAGGTTACCAAGAGTGTGCACGTTCCCCTTCTAAAGTAAATTTCCTCTCTGTGGTGAGATATGCAGCACACTCCATTTCAGAGCACCTCCATACGGTCAGGATGGGCAGCAAAGTGTGCAGGGCTTTTGAATGGGACCCTTGTCCCCAGCCACTGTAAGCCACAGCTACTGGCATGGGGGGAAGGCAGATACAGCAACCATCTCATGCCATGCACTGAAACACACAACCCTCGACACCCCTCTCATTCTCCCAGGTCACCTTGCATAGTTACAGCACTGACTTACTAATAGCCAGGATGTCACCCAAGTGTTTTAGCTAGAGTATCACTAATATTTCTTGGAAAACATGCCCCCCTACATCCCCAGCTATGTCCTCTCCACTTCAGAATGGAGCAAAGGGTGCATTTTTAAAACAGACCTACCTGTTGTGACAGCTAAGCTGACTTTTCACCTTCCACAGGAAGAGATCAGAGGAAACTTGTTCATTTTTAACTCCAGAGTCTTTGATGCAAACCACGTGTTCAGGGAGCCTATCAAGGGTTAGTCCTTCTGCCATAGTGATCATTCCAGGCAAAGGAAAGCTAAACACAAAAAAGTGCCAGGACCACAGAGGTTTGGTGAAGAAAAGGAACTAACACCCCTGACAATTATTTTGCATTGATTAAAAAAAGAACAGGAACGTCTTTTGTGTGGCTAGCACAAGGATATTTCAGGGCCTTCTGCAGCACTAAAGTACGTACTGGCTATGGCAGATGTGCCACTAGTTTAAAATTCATCCAGTAGACGGGACTTTAGAAACAAAACGTCAGGACTCGAAAGGCAGCCTGCCCAGCAGTCTTGGCCTAACCGCAGGAAGATGAAGTAGTTGCATTTCTTCTCCTCTCTGCCAAGGCAACTGTACATTATTGCTATAAATAGAGACACTCTGGATCCCAGCTTCTTTTAACCTTGGAGGGAGACAATGCAGCCACTGTACCAGTCAAAGAGGCAAAGGGCTGTTGCCACCTAGAAACATCCCAATGCCACGGGAGTTTCCTCTAGCCCACGTGCCTGCTCAGGTACAGCTGCGTGTGCAGGTGGTAAAAGTACTTGCTCAGAACTCCCGGCAGCAAACCCTGTTTGCCCAGCACACACATGACTGGGATGCGTGCCCTGCTAACAGAAAAGCTGCATCAGCAGAAAAGCACAAGTTGGAATTGTGGCCAGAAAAGCCTGCTGCAGTCTGGAGGCGAGGAGTTGTTCTTGGTGCCTGCTGTTGCAATTTGGAAAGATAAAGATAGAACTACTGAATTTGGTTTCTGACCTCATGAGACTCCCTTCCAAGGTCAGTGCTTCAGCTTTGGAGGTCAGACTGCAACTACCCCTGAAGCAAGCAGTACACCTGTGTGCAGGCAGTTTTTATTACAGGGCTTTGCTCTCCTATTCAGATCATAATACTTGAAGCTGTGCCAAGCTGGCCTTGTAAATGCAAGCCACACCTATTTTCCATCTGGTAGGAGGAGATTATAGAAAGCAAGCCCCTATCTTTTAAAAGTAACCAGCAGATCTTGCAAAACAGAAAATACTTCCCATTCTAAGAACAAGATTTCGACAGTTTTGAGCTAAAAGATGAATTAATGCACAAAGACTGAACTCTAAAATTTCAGGTAACACAGTTACAAGATACAATCACGTGGATGCCTTGCAGCAGTAGCAGGCAGCTCCAGAAGTGTGTGTTCCAAGCAAGAGCAGTGGGATTGCGTAGTCAGGGCACAGCCGTTGGAGTGTCAGCAGCACTAACAAAGCACAAAGGTAAGACAGCTGGACTCCCACCTCGGCGGTCCTCAGCTACACGTGGTACAATGCATTTCAGTGGAGATGCATCCACATAAGGAAGAACTTGTACAAGAACTAAGCAGAATGTGCGTGTAGCTGCAAACTTACAGTGTTACCTCTGTTCTGCAGAGAAGTAATGGTTGGAGGTGGCAGGGCAGCAGAGGATTTGGGCATTTTTAGCCCCAACCATCAGTGTTTAAGCAATTACCAAAAAGATACAAACAGGGGGTAACAGCAAGCCCTCTTCCAAGAGATACAACTAGTCAAGCAGGAGGGAAAGCAACACTCTAGCTATTCCTTCAACAGATGGCTGCTGTGAAATAACATGGATGCTGCTGCCATGTGCAGTGGACAAGAGGAATATCAGGTCTGTGTGTGAGCATGCATAAATAATTATCACCACTGGAGTTCTCATAGCAAAGCCTCCATCCCCTGGAAGCACACTATAAAAGGGAACTATGATCACAGTAACAAGAGAGCAAAAGCATTTGAAATTCTCATCCTTTAATGGTCAATGATAACTTCTGCCTGGTTCTGTGTAATACAATTAAACAATATACTTAAATGTTTCAAAAAAAAAAAAAAAAAAAAGAAGCTCTCACACCCCCTCTTCCTATAGCTTTCTTTCATCGACATTCCGCTGCTGGACTGGACTCCCATGGCCTACCATACAGCTCTCAAGTCACCACACATCCACATCTTAAGTGTAACGAAGAACTGAAAAACCTTGGTGCACCAGTGATGTGTTATTTTAAAAATAACAGCTCTATTAAACCAAATCCTTCCCAGTCTCCATCGCTTCTCAAAGAGGAAAAACAAAATGTTACTGTGGGAGTCTTAATACACTTGTCTTTCTGGGTTTCTCTCTTCCCTGCTGAAGTCATACAGCATAGAGTTCATAGATCTTCTTTACACAGTACACCAGGGCAGCGAGTGCTATCGTGTTATGCAGTCTCTTTCTGTGCAGGTCGTCCTTCCTCACTAGCACCACCGGAGTAGAGGAGGTGAGCGTATGCAGGGGCAGGCGGGAAAGTTTATAGGCATCGTACTCTACTTGGTACTTGCAACAGGGATCAAATTGCCAAGAGATACCATAAAGGGTGCAGCAGGCCACGCTCAGCACACCAGCAGGCAGGGAGATGTAGTGAGAATAATCTACTGGAAGTGCCAGAGGGGTGAAGAGACAGGTGGTGCCCGCTAACACAGCGGTCTTGTGCAGGCAGTTCCCGACAGTGATCCAGCGGGCCGTCTCATCCCCAATGCGAGTGGGCTCTATCACTATGTATTTGTACTGCGCTTCCAGGGCCTGCTCCAGCTCATACTCAAACTGGTCCTGAGCGTTCTCGCCATTGTAGATCTCATGCACGATGTAACAATCCGTGGAGGACAAGGTGACCCTGTTAACAGGAAACACAGAATGAAAACTACAGAGCTTAAAGACAGACTTTTCACCCACCTAGCTGTGAGAACAGGAGAGAAAAATGCCAGAAGTGAGGGCAGCCCCTCAAGGTCAGTCACTGCCTCTGTTCAACAAGTAGCTTTTTCAAATCAAGATTCATTTCACATCGGCTAATTATGCCTGCTGTACATGAAATCATCCCAAAATGAGGCAACATATTTTTCCTTACCTTTTACTAACTTGGAGGAGCTAGAACATTTTGAGAAAATAGCATCTTCTTAACAATCCTGAAATGGTTCCTCACACCAATACCCAAGCAGTTTCTCTAGAGGTACTGAGATTGTTGCACCTCAGCGACCACACCACATCAATGAATGGACCATGCAGACTTAAGGAGTTTTCACAGAAAAAAAGACTAGCAGCTCATCCATCAAGAGGGTTGCACTGGAAGGTTTTAAGAGAGGAAGCATCTTCAGATGAACATGTCTGCTTTCTCCCCACAGTAACTACCCCCTTGCCAATGATGCAGTTTTCTATTTCATCCTCCACAGTAAATCCAACAAGGATAGCCAAGAAACTTTGCTGGAAGTGAAGGTGAAAAAGGTAGCAGAGCACTCAGTTTGTTACAGAACAGTTTACTCTGCTGAAATAGCGCGCAACAAAACAAGAAAGGAACGTTCGGTTTTTTTTAACCCAGGCAGGCTTTAACAGTGAAGAAAAAGCTGCTCCCTTTACCTTGGAGCAGGCTCCCTACTGACAGGGGATTCACAAGACTTGTACATCCCTCATTTGAGTAGCAGCTTTTAGCTACCTAAGTCACATCAATTTCTACTTTCTCTCCACCCCCTTAACACAAATCACCTTAGCTGCAGCTACATTAATGTACCAGACTGCTAAGAAATAGGATTATGACTGTATACCTTCTCTGAG